AATCCAGCCCATTCTATACAAATATACATTCCTTTATCCTGATTCGTATCCCATGAACATAGCATATATGATTTTTTCTATGGGTACGTTCTTAAATAATCTATTGCCCAATTGAATAAATTTGTCCAAAATTTTTTTTTATTGAGACAAATAAATTTGTCTTATTGAGATGAATAAATTTGTCTTATTATGAATAAATTTGTTTTATTAAATAGAGTCATCAAAAACGAACGTTCAACAACCCTTTAAAGTTAATGTCTCACGAAACAATAAAGCTTTTATTTGGGATGCTAAAAGTGGGTGTTGATCAAGAACTTTCTTTAACTTAAATTAGAAAAAATATCCGAATTAACAATTATCAGTTTTCTTTGACGCAAAGCTGTCCATGCGTTACGCAAAGATCATCGCATAGTCGGCTCATTTGTCGGCAGTCTTCCTCGATATCCATTACAAAATCAACTTCTCGGATTACCTCTCTCTTTAATGCCCGAAGAAGTTACATTACTTTTATCCAAAGGTTTTTATATTTTTTAAAATAGCGTTAACGCTGTTTAATATTATGGCTGAAGTTTCGCTATAATAGGAATTATTGTTTTAATTGATGATGAAAAAAGTCACTTAGTACCCACAAAATCGCAAATTGAAGAATTTGAAAAAAATAAATCGGAAAATGAGAATCAACAACTGCAAGATTATTTACGTTTTATACAAGAGAAAAAAACCAAATTTCGATCTTTAAAGAAAGATAAAGAAAAAGATGTAAAAAAAACAGAAAATATCCTTAATAATGATCTTAACGATTCACCTTCCCAACAACTTCGACCTAAATCACAAGATGAACATGAAACTTCACTGATTAAAGCTTTTGCTCCAACTATTACTATTAAAACTTCATCAACATCATTTGAATGGTACAATGATAATGATTGTTGTTTTAATTCCCTAGAGGTGGCCAGATTGGCTGGATTGTGGACATGGCCATCGACACCGAAAGAGGAATACAAATTTAAGGTTTATTGTGATCTTTGGAATCGTGGATATTTTATTACGAGCGGTATCAAATTTGGTGGTGATTATTTGTTATATCCAGGTAATAAATATGTGTTTCGTTACGTGTGTTATTAACATCGTTATTGTGTTCTAATTTTATATTTACATTGATATAGGAGATCCTCTTCGCTATCATAGTCATTTCATTGCAACGATTATTGATATAAATAAGGAGATATCACCTATGGACATTATTACATTTGGTCGTTTGGGAACGGCTGTTAAAAAATCATATATGCTATGTTCATGGGATACGAATCAGGATAAAGGAATGTATATTTGTATAGAATGGGCTGGATT